CTCCTCTGCTCAGTGGAGGCTAGCAAGCCCCCAACTGAGAGGCCCCTGGGGTGTTGAGGGAATGTAACCTACTGTACTCAGGGTGAATGTAGTATAGGCATTCAATAAAGTGTTCTGATGTAAAGTGTTTTAGTCTATTACCACATCCATCGAGGGTTAACTTAAAACAGGATCTACCATTTTTAAAGTTCTTTATGTGCCATGACCATCTTTTTTGTTATGACTTTAAAGAACTTTCTATATGCTTAACGCACATTAAGTGTAATAACTGTACCTAGCCTTAGTGATCCATAGATGCATTTATCCTGCCTCAGAGCAGGAAGATGGACTTGATTGATTTCTTGAGGTCCCTTCAGGCTATTTTCCTATGATTTATATCTTTTCCTGCTGGTGGCTTCCCCTGAGCAAATACATATTTCAATGATGCATCCTGAAAAACTCCAGTTAAGCAACAGGTAGGTAACTTCTCTTTTTTTTCATAAAATAACTTGTATATTTTTCAGGAATGTCTCAGGCTATAACTATAGTTCCAGATAATGTGTTGTGGTAGTTAAACCAGTACTATCTACTTGTGAAATAGGAAAACTTGAATTGCATTGTCATCATTTTCCAGTGATTCCATTTTTGGTATAGCATTCTCTGTAGTCAAGCTTGTGTAATACCTTGATTCAATTCAGGACATAGTCACTTGAGCAAGTTACCATGATGTAAATGAGGACAGAGACTTACAAGGTTGTCAGCAACTCTGTGTTAATTGCTTATGTACACACCCTTATCTGTGGAAAATGGAAGCTAATCTACATTAGCTTACCACTTTTTACTACTCATTCTTTTTGTAGGGGTTTTGTCAGAGGAAGGGCAGGAGTTTTTTATGTATGTGCTGTTGTGTGCTTATGTTAAAGAAGGCAAATTTGAGGAAGGCAACCTGCTCTTCAAAACAAAGGCAGTAAGGTCTATGATGATCCTTAGTTCCTATGAGAGTCTGTTCTACTGAGTTGGACTTGCCTGTAAGTTTTGTCTCCTACAAAGGTGAGCCTTACCATTATTGAAGAGTTCCACTGTGTCAGAGGGCAAACTTAATTGACCACAGTCTTTATACTAGAACTTCTCTGGTAATGGTGAGCCCAGACCATGAGTGCCTTGAAAATAAAGACCAAGACCCCAAATTTGATTTGAAATTCTGTAGCAATCCATTGTAGACAACAGAGAAAAGGTCTCTGTGCCATCTTGAAGAGATTCACTGTAGTGTTCTGTACCAGGTGGAGTTTCCTAAGTGATGAAGATTTCATGCTCATATTACACGGCTGTAATCAAGACACAACAGGATTAAGGTATAATGGGGGCAAGTCATTATCTGACAGAATTGAAGGGAATCTCTCATCCAATCAGATATAATTAAAAAAATGTTATTGGTGTGAGAGCTTAGCTGCAGTGAGGGATCCAAGAGCAGTCTAAAGTATGGTCTGAACTGACCGCTTGAAGGAGTGTACATTCAACCAAAGAAACCTGCCGTGACTTTGGCTACTCAGCTCCCTCTAGCCCCTATCCAGGCACAACATATAGCATTGTGTTGACTGTATATGCTAGGCAACACCCATACCAAGGAAACTCCCAGGTATGGAACATGGCCAGTCCTCACTCCTCTGAAACCCCATTGTGGTGAAGAGAATCTGCCTAACTTTGCACATCAAGGGTGTCACGTGGCCTGAGGCCTGGAGCTGGCCTGTGGGACTGCATTGTTCAGCTGGCAGGGCTCCTACAAGGGCTGTGAATTTGGGGCCTAGGTGAGTGGGGGAGCTTCATGGGAAACGTGTTGGCAGCAGGTGGTAAGTGGTAGTTCTGTTAACCCTCATGGTTGCTGTAATCATGTACACTGCTGCCACATCTGTATCCGGCCCATGAGGTTCCCTACAGACCAGATCCAGCTGCAAGAAGCTCCACCTCCAAACCCAGCCCAGAGCCGAGTGAGTTTGATATCTCAGCTGTACATGCAGAAGTCAATATTAGGGTTCTTGTACAGAACTCCCAAGGGACTTGGTAGCAAGGATTTTATGTCCTCCACACAAGACTTCTAAATGTAAGTGGCTGACTGTGAAGGGAGTTTTGCAAGGAAAGAAGGGGCTGATTTTTCTGCCATTAAGATATCAGAGTTTTCCATTAGTCATTTCTTTAAAATAAAAGTCCATGTAGGCTGAACACTGATGTTTTGCTTTTTGTGCATGGGAAGACATATGACACAATGAAAACTATACTCAAAGTACCTAATCCACAACCCACTTACCCCTACCCACCACCTGTGAGCTTTGGAGATGACTTCTTAAGTCCCCGATCAAAGAAAGATCTGGTTGGGCAAGACATGTCTACCACTAGTACAAACCTTACTCTTAATAGCTGTTTTGAATTTTTGTAGTTTAGAGCTGAGACAATCTTACACTGGGGCTCCAGACAGACAGAGGTAAATATAATCTTTTAATTTACAAGGTGGGGGATCCTGTTTTATAACCAAAGGTGAAGCGGATGATTTGGAGAAAAAATGACAAAGAAGAGAAGACAGGCTGTTGTGTTTGGCCCTGTAGTATTTGGGATTTTATTCTATGTACTTTGTAAGATAATAACCAACAATAATTATAACTTAACCTGAGCAGTACCCAAGACACAAGGAGCTCAGGGTGATGAGAAGCTGTGCCATAGAGACATGTCACTTTAAACTGGGCTGACTGCTTCACTGCAGCATGGGGGTGGCAGAAGTGTCTTGGCATCAAAGGGAAAGGGAGCATGTTTGCAGTGACAACTCCTGTGCTTCTCCATTAGAATTGCTTACTTTAAAGGACTGTGTGCCCCAAAGGACTTTCAAAGCGTTTGCGCTCTAATAAGAGGGTTGCAATACTATTAGTCCTATTAGCAGGCTCTGTTCAGCACACTCCAATTAGTTGCAAGCTGACACACTTTCTCCTGTAATATTGGCCAGACAGAAGAACTTCGGTTTCATTTTATTGTAGCCACAGTGTTTCCAATAACCCTCAGATATAACTTCAGAAGGATTTTGTGGGACCCACAGCAGCTTGGGACCCTGAGCGTGGAACTGGCAGCTTTTTATATCAAGTTCCAGAAAACCTCACCCTGTGCCTTCAGTATTATTATTATTATCGTTAGTCATGGCAGTTAGGGCTGCAGGGTGAGACTATAAAGTAATCTATTCATCAAGGAAAAGCAATGACCAATTCAATGGAGAGGAGTGTATAATAGATTTCAGTCACCTGTGTTGTCTCCATTTCCTCCTATCCCCTAAATAACCCAAAATATACATACACAGGGGTTAGCACCCTTACATGAAAAGTGTTCTGTTGCCAAGGAGCTATATGTAAGAGACAACGTGTTTTTTTAATTCAGAAAGCACATTGCTATTAGAGACTGGATCTAAAATTAGGTTTAAAAATAGGTTTTACAGAAGCACTGAGTGGTGCTACCTAATAAGGAGAATCGGAAGAAATCAGTTCAAATTAATAGCTGGTAGGGGAGTTTCTGCCCCAGATACTCTGCCTTTCAGAGACAGGTGAACAAAGTCCTTTATTAGTCAAAAGCTCGCTGAGGATGAAAGGGGCTGTGTACATACATGCGAGGCAGCATTCAAACCATGGAGTTGGTGAGGGAGGGAGAAAAATCACACTGTGTAGCTGCAGTATTTTCAGAGCCAGCTGGGATTTTCCTCCTGCTTTTACAAGTTGGAAATCTGCTGAATAATTCATGAGGAGGAGAAAGGCTGAATTTTCCTGGGATGATGTATGTGGTATGTACAGTACCACAGAAGGAAACCGCAAGACTTCATATCAGCTGCTGCTGCTCTTGTTGCTGATTGCAGGTGCTGCTTTTCTTGGCATTTTCACAGCTGGAACATCCTTGCTGCTGCTTTCCTGGATGCTGTTAGCTGCCTGACCTGGATTGTCCCTGACAGCTCCCTGCTCTGGACACTACTAGCTTCACTATGCAACCCCACTCCTGCTAGCTTTATTCTCTGGACTGTCCTATTGGTTGCCTGTGTTGGATACTACTGGACTTTGCATGCTCTGCACTATACCTGTAACCTGCCTTAGAGCCTTATTCTGGCTCCTCTCTGTCTGTGTCTCTGCTTCAAAGCCTCCTTTCCCAGGTAAGCATGAGATTTGCATGGAGGTGCCGAGACTGAGTTGCATTCAAGAAGATGCCCAACTCTTCCTGGAGTGCCAGCTCCTCTCTGCTGCTGCTGTGTGAAGAGTCCTCAGGGACCAGGATCTCTTTGTCTCTTCTGTACTCCTTGTTAGCAATATCAGGGACCTTATCCAATGTGATGGTTATTTATTTAGTCTTCTCCTTCAAGAAGCTACAGACAACCAGCAATGCTTTCATTGTGAATGGCTGTGCTGCTGACCTGAGCGTCTGTGCCCTCTGGATGCCACAGGAGGCGGTGCTGTGGCTGCTACCACCAAACTCCCCTTCTGCCCACTCAACAGGATACCGGCTGCTCCGGGGGGCGCTCCTGGGCCTTGGCCTCACTGTCTCCCTGGTCTCTCACCTTCTGGTAGCGCTCAACAGGTATGTGCTCATCACTAAAGCACCCAGTACTTACCAAGCAATCTACCAGCGGAGACATGTAGGGTGGATGATTGGACTGTCCTGGGGCCTTGCCTTGCTCTTGGTCCTGCTGCTGCCCAGGCTTTGGACACAGTGGCCTTCACAGCAGTCACCCCAGGGGCACAGTAGCAGCAGTGTGCACTATACTGCCCTGCTGGTACCTCTGGCCATGCTCAGCCAGACAGCACTGCTGCTCCACTGCTATCTTGGCATCGTGAGGCGGGTACGGGGCAGTGTCAAACGGGTCAGTGTCCTCAACTTCCACCTTCTGCACCAGCTGCCCTTCCCTGCTGCCCCACAGCCACCACGCCGGGCCCAGCGACGCCTCAGCAGCATCTCTGTGCTGCTCCTCTGCTGTGTCTTCCTCCTGGACACCCAGCCCCTGGTGTGGGTGAGCCTGCTGGGCTTCTTCCTGCAGCCCATGCCCCAGGCACTGCAAGCGACCAGCTGGCTGCTGCTCTGCTCACTGTCAGCATTCAACCCACTGCTTTATACCTGGAAGAACGAGGAGTTCAGGCGCTCCGTACGCTCAGTGTTGCCGGGAGGAGACGCTCCAGGTGTAACTGTGGCTGTGGCAGCAGCAGCCACTGCCCTCCCCACAGTGTCCCTTCCCTCTCAGGAGCTGCCACAGCTGGGTGCCAGGGTGAAGAGCATGGGTAACCTCATGCTTCACTGATCCACTTGGGGAAACATATGGCTCCCCTGGCAAGATTTGACAAGATGCTGAAACATGTAGGAGGCGTATGAGTGCAAATGACTCACTGAACCACAGAGCAAAATCCTCTACTCCCTGAAGGAGAGACTTTGGATGCTGCTTCACAGATGCTGCAAGGCTAAAATGTACATCCAACTGATTTCCTTCCCCGTGGCATGTATGTGGCCTGGGAAAGCTGATGGGGTTGGATACTTCAGAGGACCCTGTTGTTCTCCAGGTCTTTGGTTTCCCCTCTGCTTTCCTCTCAGCTTGTACACTGCCAACTGAGGTTCCTTCACAGGAGTAAGATGCTTGTGTCTAGGGGTTACAACCACTGTGGTGTAAAAATGTTGCCATGGAGACTCCTTTAGAGAGGTTGTGAACCTGGGGTTGCTCAGCCCTCCTCACAGGAAGGTGGCACTTGGTTGTGGGTGATTCAGAAGCTATTTTACAGTGGGGCTTCAGGGCTTGGGATGCTAAATAAGCATCTGGGAACTGCCTTGGCAGTCCCACCCCACTTCCAGCTCTCCATTCCCACTGCCCATCCACAACAGGCTTTCCTGCCTTCTCAAGTGGAGGCCCACACGATGTGCAAGGGTAGAAGGTCTGTCCTTCTGCGGGCATCTTCCAGGAAGGGACATCTACCCTGCCCCCTCTTTCCAGAGGGCTGTTTCCACAGGACTTTCTGGGGCTTCACCCTCTTCTGCTCCTCACCTGCTTTGGGGCCGCTCTTTCCCTTGCTAGTTCTGCCCCCACTTCTTTCTCCTTTTTCTGTGAATTTGTTTCCTTTTTTGCTCTCTCCTGGCCTCTCAGGTTGACTCCTGCTTTGTGTACCTGTTTGCTGCCTCTTCCCCCAGAGGTTTGCTTCCTTCAATCCCTCACTGTTACTGATACACTGAGAAGACTGAAGCTCTTGCTATGTTGTCCCAGGGATTTGGGAGAAGGAGCTGGGGACTTGGTGCCCCTCAAGCCTCCTTTGCAGCCTGGGTCTTCTCATTCCCTGCCTGAGCCTCCCCTGCTCTGTACAGTACCATCCACAGCTCTCTATTTTTAAAGGCCTCTCTGGGATGGTAGCCAGGACTCAGATCCCATTGGACTGGGTTTAGAAGTAGTCACAGCCCCGCAGAGAAAACAGGATGGAGAGGCAACTTTTAAAGAAAAAAAAGCCCCCGATTTTAATACTTTGTTTTGGATGTTTTCTGAGCAACTCCTTAAATAAACAAATGTTGACACAAATCTCTGCCTTTGGCAATTCACTTTGATCAAAATAGAGTCTAGTCCTCCGTCTCCACATAGCATTATAATCTGTTCAGCTATTTGTCTTTGCTGTGGTAGTTCTACTTCATCAGGCACAAACTACATTATTGTTGCAAGGGGGTTTTGCAGCCTGTCCTTGTGCTAAGTTAGAGGTGCCAGGCTTGGTGGGATGGCTTCTGTTCAGCATAAATCCTTCCACTCAGGATAAATGTATCAGTGGAGCTGCTTTTCTGGCCATTACTGCAACCTCAGTACTGGTTGTAGTCAGGGACTAAAGAGCCTTTCATTTTTTGTAGCCTGCCAAGGCTTCAAAATGATAAAAGGGAAAAGACATCCTGCAGCCGGCATCATTAGCAGAGGAGAGAAGCTTCATGAGTGTATGACAGCCTGTGAACTAAAAAAAAAAAAAAAGATTTCCTAGTTCTTTACAAGACTTCCTCCTCCATATCTCAGGCACAGTCTGCTCTGAGTGACAGTGAGTATCTCTCTTGTTGTGTATCCAATTTCCATGCTAATAGGTTGTTCCAGCTTCTTTTAAGTCAGCAGGAGTTTTCCCAGTGACCACAATGTGAGTGAAGTGTAAGTCCCTAGATGGGATCCCTGGCTATGGAGGTAGCAGAACATACTGGAACCCCTGAAGTTCTCAGGTGGGTCTGGGTCTGGGTGTGCAGGCGGGTAGGGCAGAGATTACACTACAGAGAAGTTATAGGAGAGTTGTGCACCCCCTTCAGGCTGCAGGGCAATACTTGGTGCCAGCTTTTGCTTCCCCACAGCAGTACTGGCAGATATGGGTGGCTCAGCATAAGCACTGGAGGTCTGAAACTGCCCAGACATGCAAGTCAAATTCCTTTTCCCTGCAAAGGAGGAAGGGGTGAATGCCTACGCTTCTGCTAGCACTGCAGGGGCTCCAGAGCCAGGAGGTCCTGGGAGGATTCTGTCCCTGCAGCCATGTGGGGAAACTGCACAAAGATCATTTGTTCATACTTTGCATAGGAGCTGAGAGTTTGGCTCTGATGTAACTGGCACAAAGCAAGTCCATCCATGTCCCTCTGGGACTGAGGTTCCCTATCCAGTGTAGGTCTTGAGTGCATAATGTGCACTGTGCTTGACTAACTCTTGCCCTGGGCTGAAAGCCTGGACAGGCAGATATGGGGCCTACTAGCCTTTCAGGGAGGGAGGGAGAAAGAAGTGACCATTGAAACTATTCCTCCCTTACAACTGGAGCTGTATGTGAAAACAGAAAAGGAAGCCCAATATGAAACAGGAATTTAAGTAAAGATGATCTATGCATGACTATCAACATTGTTTAGAGAGGTGAGGGTACTCACTTCACAGCCTCAGCAGGACAAAGACAGCAGTGAGGAAATGAGTGTGGAATGTTTCCACCTCTCCTTTATCTTCTCTGGGGGTGCCCACCTCTGTCTGCACATATGCTGATTTCAGACCTCTCTCACCTTGCAAAGTTACTGTTCAGAATGTGCTTTAACTTAAAGCCAAGGTCTTTATTTTTCTTTAGTGTAAACATTATATGGCCAGTGGCCATGTAAGCTTGTCCTAGATCCTAGCAACCAATGTGCCTAGCCTCTATAGTAGTGGTTCTCAACCTTTTTAGACTTAAGGCACCCCTTCGGAAATGCCAGCTCTTAGTTTTCACCCAGTTTTTACTATGGAAAATAGAGCAATTCTTCTGTTGCAAAGAACTCAGAAAGCCCACAACAGGCCAGAATGTTTCTGACACTATGGATTCCTATTTGAAACCTCTCTGTTTATCTGGTAAATCATATTTGCACACCTGAGAGTGCAAATACTGAATAGCAGCATACAGAACCTTTGAGAGGATCGCAAGACATCTCAGTGTGTTGTGGCAGCCTGGTTGAGAATCACTGTTCTGTAGATACCATCTTCAGAGGAAAAACTAGACCAGACTTTCAAGAGTTATGGTTAAACACACTATCATGTATTCTGCCATCCAGGGCTGAGCATTCAGTCTAACTACTACTGAATCCAGTCATACTGTAAAAAAAAAATCCTTATGAAACCACAAGGTGATAAGGACCATCAAATTCCACTGGATCTGTGGGATATAAGGATATTCAGCACCTTGTAGTCCTAGGCTTCTAAATAGAACAACAAATGTTAAAATAACATAAAAATCAGCTAACCAAAAACAAAAACTGTCTTAATGTGAAAGCTTTTTATTTAAAGCAACTCAGATATCCAAACCAGAGAAACTTGCCCGTGTTCCCTCAAAGGACAGTGCTTAAATGCTTGCTTGTATTTCATGTGGGCAATATTTGAACTCACTTATTTAACATGTTAAATGAATGCCATTTTGTATAAAACTTGTATCACCTAAGTGCTGTGCATTCTACCCCTGCCCCCTCCCCATATGAATAATGTACTAAATTTCACATAGAAGCTGGAAAACATTTGGATGCTTCAGAGGCAATTACATCTATTGCTAATCTCAAAGGGTCATTCTTAAAATACACATGAGAGCAGAAAATGACATTGCACAGAACAAAATTATCCTCTAAAATATTTAACACAGAATCATTTGATTTAAGATCTCTCTTCATTTCAAAGTTACTGAGAAAAAAGAGAAATCCTGTGTGCCTTGACCTAAAGCCAAGTTCTTTATTTTCCTACAATATAAATACACTATGGATAGACTTGTGAGTTGGCTGTAGTGGAGTGATGCTCACTCTCCTGCCCACAGGCCAGATTTGGCCTGTGGACTGACCTGTGGGGCTCCCCACAGGTCAAGAGATTTGGCAGCAGGGGACTGGTGGCAATCAACACTGCTACTACTCTCCCATCATCACAGTTCCAAGCCCTGCAGGCCAGATGACATGGCCCTGCATGAAGGACAGGGCTGTGGGCACAATTTGGTGTGGGGTCCGATTCAGCATGTGGGGCTGTGGCCATGCAGCTGGCTGGCCCCAGCTGGCCTGGTTCCCCACACTCTGGCTACACAAGCCCACATGCTGGATCAGGCTCTGGCCAGGCCTGCGTTGCACACCAGATTAGGCCTACAAACTGACCCTGTGCCACTCATCTAGCCCATAGGGTCAAAGGTTTGGGCACTGGTGCCCTAGCAGTGTATCAATGTGCCCAGGCTCTGTAGATTCTGCCTCTGGAATGGAAGAGTAGATCAGACTCCCCTTCAATTCTTGGCCTCTCTTGACATCTCTTCTGTGCCGTGTACAACTGGATCGAAGCCATTAATCACATGCTTGATGGTAAAGCCTTTTTGTTATTAGTGACCTCTCACATGCAAAGTATAAGCCTGCAGTATGGGGGAAAGTATTCGTAGCTGCTTGTCATTCCAAATACCTGAACCTGGTAGGACAACCCAGGTAAAGCTCTTCTTTTGTCAGATGTTCTGCAACCCAAAGCTGGTTACGAGCATGACCTAAAGAATCCCGTCTCTGATTTAGAAACACTGTTTTTGATTTGCCCATTCAGGAGTATAGCCTATAGTGCCAGGTCTCTGAAGGCTACAGTTGTCATGAATCAGTCTGATGCCAGAAGCTAGAGTCAAGGCTGTTGTGTGAAACAGCCTGTAGCTGGCATTCACATTATTATAGATTGGGCTAAATCTCTTTGAAAAAAGGGGGTTTGTAACCTCTGCCTTTCATTTAAGCTAGTTGGAAGAAGCCATTAAGTTCCTTTACAGAAAGTAGGTTGTAGCCTACAAAAGCTTATGACTTTCTAAATGTATTAGTCTTCAAGGTGCCACCCTGCCCTGCCTCCTGGAAAAAGGTAAGTGAAATAATAGGGGCAAAGATGGGCATGTATCATTATGCAAGATAAAGGTACAGGTG